ACTCTCAAGCACTGCGCCACCAGGGAAGCCCAACACTGACCTCTTTTGACAGACCTGTCTCCTTCACCACCTCCAGGGCTGTCACCTTGGCCCTGGAGGACAGAGCCTCCATTACAGGGGGAGGTGAGTGGCATGGGCAGCCCCTGAGAAGTGCCCCTCAAGAGGAGCCCTGGCCAGAGCCCCACTGAGAGCCCCCATCTGGACCACAGTGTGCATGAGGTTCTGCCACCTCGTAAGTGGGCACCAAAGGGCTGGTGGATGCCAGTTAGCACCACACTCTATCTCCGGGCCAAGGTTCCAGAACAGCCACGCCATAGACTACCCACCCCTGAAGATCCCAACAGACCCAGGACTCCCCCCTAACCCCAAACCAGCCACAGCTGTCCTCAGGCCCATTTAAGCCCCAGAGCCAAGAGCCGGACACCCGGCGTGGCACAGTCCCACTGCAGCCGCTCGGGGACACTCACATTGATAGTGCTGCAAGAGCCGGTGAGTCCGCACGTCCCACACCTTCACCGTGTTGTCCATGCCGGCAGCGGCGATGCACGTGCCGCTGGGGTGGAAGTCCACGTAGGTGACAAAGCTGGAAAGGGGGCCAGCGCATGCTGTAGGAGGTCTGCCCCAGCTCAGAACAGACCCCCAAACATCCAGCACATCCCCATCCCCACACACCTGCTCACACTCTTCCCTCAGCCCAGAATACCTCCCTATTGCCCTGTATCTTTACCAGGCGGCCAAGGGAGAACAAGAAGGAGAGGGTGAGAACAGAGGCTAGCAGTGACCTGAGGGGCACTTACCAGGGAGCACGTCTCAGCACCAACTTCTAAATGCGAGCAGAGAAAGTGGACTTCAGACCAAAGGTCAGCCAGCTGCTCGGGTGCTTTCAGTTAGAGCTGGTGCCCCTACCAGAGCAGGAAGCAGGGCAGGCCCTGCCACCTGAGGCCCAGACATCAAGGGCCAGCAGGGTCCCAGAACCACTGGCTCACCTATTTCTAGAAGACAAGCCAAGGGCTCTCGATATACTCATATGTGACACCCAGGCTGGTATCGTGGCCAGCCCTCAGGAGGGACCCTTACGTGGGGCTCCCAGCCTAACAAGGGGCAGACGCTGAGGTTCATCTAGGAACCCAGATTGGGTGGGTCCCTGCTCAAATGCAGGCTCATCCCTCTCAGTGATGCGGCATGATATGAACAGCCACAATCCACTACAAGAACCTGATTAGCCTTTCATTTATAAAGTCATCACCAAGGAGAACATCCTTTTGGGGGTCTGGGTTCAACTTCTTTAGACAGATGTATCACAATTTTGAGAATTAGAAAGTTAAGGGAAAAGAGAGGCCTTGAGAGTTTCATGCCTTTATCTTTATCTTTATTCCTGTCCTGCCCCTAGGTTCTTCATAAACATTTTTTTTTTTTAGATTCCACATATATGTGTTAGCATATGGTATTTATTTTTCTCTAAAACACAGACGTAGAGAATGGACTTGAGGACACGGGGAGGGGGAAGGGTAAGTCAGGACAAAGTGAGAGAGTGGCATGGACATATATACACTACCAAATGTAAAACAGCTAGCTAGTGGGAAGCAGCCACATAGCACAGGGAGATCAGCTTGGTACTTTGTGACCACCTAGAGGGGTGGGATAGGGAGGGAGGGAGGGAGACGCAAGAGGGAGGAGATATGGGGATATATGTATAGCAGACTCACTTTGTCATAAAGCAGAAACTAAGACACCATTGTAAAGCAATTATACTCCAATAAAGATGTTTAAAAAGAGTTTCATGCCTTGAGGTTAAGCACTCTTACTGTTTGTGGGGATGGGGATGAGGCAGAAACTTCCACCCACACGCGAAAAGATACAGAGCCAGGGAGCAGCAGAGACATGGCGGTGGGCCCCAAGTGCCGCCACTGGAGGCCACTAGGGCCTCTTCGAGCCCAGGTCTATGCTTTTCTCGAGTGTCTACAGGTGGAGGACAGGGTCTGGGGACTCACCTGCCGTGCTCACAGTACGAGTGGACACACTCCCGGCTGGTCTTGTCCCACACCTTGACAGTCTTGTCATCACTGGCAGACACGATGAGTCGCCCATCCGGGGAGAACCTGAACCAGGCGGGGCACAAGTCACATCACCAGTCAACAGACATCACGGGCACCACACACCATCTTCCACAGTCACCCTTCCTGAGCTGCCCACCACCTGACCTCAGGAACCCACCTGGGCCACATGCCCTGCTCTGACCCTGAGTGATCCTGGGCAAATGCCTTTCTCTCTGCAAGATGGGTCAGAAGGGTGCCTACCTCCTGGTAAGCAGGTAGGCAATAGCGTCGCACACGAGGCCCCCAGCACTGCACATGGCAACATGCGTGCTGACTGCTGGTACTTGGCATCATTATCCTGTTCCCAAGTGCCCTGAATCCACATCTAACTCTGAGAATGGGTCAGCAAAACCAACCTGCTAACAAAAAAGGAGTGGAGGTTCTGGGGACCCACCACCAAAGGCCTGGTGTGAGTTCAACACTTGTTTGTTGGCGGGGCCCCTCCTATTCTCAGGAGCCCAATGGTGAGGGCCTCTCAGAGTAATCGGGGACCTCCCAGGACAGAGGAACGAGGGCCCTGGAGAACAAGTAACTTCATGGGGTCCCCAGAAGAACACAGCTCAACAGTCCCCAACCTCTGACTCCCAAGGTTTCCCAGTGTCCCCAGACACCCCATCCTCTTCCTCCAGAGCACAGAGATTCAACACGTGAGAGCTCTGTTGAAAGGAACAGAATAAGCTAGAAGCAGGCACAGCTGTGTCCGCAATTCTCAGACCTTGAAAGGTGCTTTGAATCAGCTGGCCCCCATCCCCACGGCACTGGCCCCCACACCAAAGGGAGAACCGGCTTCCAGACCAACCCCTCTCAGAAGCCTGGGCCCCCATCTGGCAGCTCTGAAGCAAAATCAACCTCTGAGGAGCAGAACGTCCTCAGAGGAAAGTAGGCAAGCCTTAGTGCCAGACACTCGGCTTCCAACCCCAGCTCTGCCACTTACTCCCAATGTGTCCCACAGCAAGATACTACACTATTCTGAGCCTCAGTTTCTTCATCTGCAAAATGGCAACAATGCCACCCACTTGCGGGACTGCCATGAGGAGTTAGAAGAAAATGTCCAGTGGTGGTACTGACGTTATCTTGTTGTTGTTGCTATTGCTAATAAGTGGCCCCTGATGACTCACCTTGGGCTGCATCAGCACAGACGTCAGGGGTCAGTCGTGGCTGACAACGGACTAACTTACTTGTCATGCATTAGCTCAGTGAAGCTTGGACAACTTACAATGTGAGAACTATTATTGTTCTTTTTCACACATAAGGAAGTTGAGGTTCAGGAAGATAAAGAGTGGCTAAGTAACTTGTCCAAGGTCATGGTGCTAGCACCTGGCAACTCCTCTGTGCCCTCCAACCCCCGGGGTCCCTCCAGCAGTCTCCAGGTACGACACTACTCACTTGGCACAGCGGACCCAGTTGATGTGCTGGCTCAGGGAGAACAGGAATTTCTGGCGATGAGTTGACCACACCTTGACTGTCTTGTCGTCAGAGGCTGTCACGAAGGACTGGCCATCGCTGCAGAAATGGACGCTCCTCACTGTGGCCGTGTGTGCACGAAACACGGTTGACTCGCCTTTGCTGCAGGGATGGGTATCCAGAGTCAGGAAACCCATAAACCCATAAGAGCAACATAAGGGCACATCGAAGCCCTCCCCACCCCTCAGACCCTCCCAAAGTAAATCCAGGCTTGAGTGCCTCAGTCCCCAAAAAGGGAAGCCAGAGCCTTACCCACGTGCAAGCAGCGTCAGGTGGGACCCCTTCCAGGATGGCTGAGGTCAGCCCAGAATCTCCCTATTGGCCCTGAGGGGAGGGCCCCGACTGAAGCCCCAGCTTCTGATATTACCTCCTCGGAAGTGGGGCAGATGTCCCACTGTGACCAGTCCAGCACTAGGGCCCAGACTCAGACAATCCCCTCCAAGTCTTTAACTCACACGTTGGGTACCCAGATGCGGACAGTCTTGTCGCGGGAGCCCGAGGCAAGCAGGTGTCCCGAAGGGGAGAAGTTCACACAGGTGACGGTGTCCTTGTGGCCGGCAAAGCGGTAGGCACGTGACTGGGGCTTCATGTGCCACACCATGAGGCATGAGTCCATGGAGCCACTGGCTGAGGAGAGAGCAGATGCCATGACGCTCGGCTCAAGCAGGCCTGGAGCCTCCACCAGGATGCTGGAGACGGGCGCGGGGTGGGGTGCGGGCAGCAGGGACAGCCCAGCTCTGCCTTCTCCATGGGGATAGGCCACACCTCCAGTGACTGCTGAGCAGGAGTTCGGAGAGCCTAGGGCCTGTCACCACTCCAGGCAACAGGCCCACACAGCAACCAGACCTGGGCTGTAACCGAGGGTCCCGGGTCTCCCCACAGACACACTCTGCGGCTCGAGAGAGCAAGTCCTCGCAAAACTGGGGAGCCAGCTCAATCCAGTGGCCATTTTACCATTAAGAGGACCCATCAGAAGCCTAGTGGAGTTCCCCAGAACAGACCAAAAATAACTTCAGTTTCCTCTTAATCTCCAGCGTACATCATGAGACCAGCAGCTTCTGGCAGGGGACCTTGACCATTGGATGAAGGGGGAGCCTCGTCCATAGAAACAAGAAAGCTGCAGCCGTGAGAGCTGTGTATGAACCCCCAGGTGGCCAAGGAGAGACACTCGGCTGCAGCATAAGGGCAGTGGGGGGAGGGGAGCACCCGGCTCTGCCCCCCATCCTTCTCAGTGGTGGGCGTCTTCAACAAGGAGGTGTGCCCATGGTACTGTGGACAACAGAATCAATAAAGATCCAAGGAAAAAGCCACTGTTTAGGGCTCATTCTGCAGTCCAGGCCTGAGAGGTGGATGGGGTATGCACGGAAAAGCCCAGAACCAGGTCCTAACCTCAAAGGCTGTGTGACCTTAGCAAGGCCCCCAACCTTTCTGAGCTTCACACTCCACATGCAGAATGGAGCTCATAAAGCCTAGCGCCCAGAGAGCAGGCCAGCTGAAGCAAGAGGTAGGTCTGGACAAAGCACCTGGGTCCTCACTGTGCCCTGCTCCCCCAACGCCAAACCTCCCGGGTAGAAACGTGACCTTCTCAGCTCATAACCTAGTGCCTAGAACAAGATGCCTCTTCTTACCCAGCTGCTTTGTGTTGAGACTGAAGTCCACACAGGTAACTGCATCCCGGTGGCCCTTAAAATGCCTCTCCAGCGAGGGGTCCTCCTGAGGGAGAGCCAGGGTCAAATATGTGAAGCCTAGATGAGGAAGGGGCTTCCCCAGGGCCAAGACTCTTCCTACAACAGCCAGCAGCATTTAAAAATGCTCAAGGCATGGGCTTCCCTGGTGACACAGTGGTTGAGAGTCTGCCTGCCAATGCAGGGGACATGGGTTCGTGCCCCGATCTGGGAAGATCCCACATGCTGTGGAGCGGCTGGGCCCATGAGCCATGGCTGCTGAGCCTGCACATCCGGAGCCTGTGCTCGGCAACGGGAGAGGCCACAACAGTGAGAGGCCCGTGTACAGCAAAAAAAAAATTAAAAAAAAATAAAAAAATAAAAAATAAATAAATAAATAAAAATGCTCAAGACATGATCTTGTATATAGAAAATCCTAAGGAATCACTAAAAAATCTATTAGAAATAATAAGTTCAGCAAGCTTACAGGATACAAAATCAATATACAAAAATCAAGTACACCAACAATGAACAATGTGAAAAATAAAAGTATGATAACAATTCCATTTATGATACATAAAAAAGAACAAAATACTTAGAAATAACAAAAGAAGTGCAAGACATATGAGAACTAGAAAACATCACTGAAAGAAGTATAGAAAGACCTAGATAAATGGAAAGACATCCCATGTTCATAGTTTGGAAAACTTAATATTGTTAAGATGAAATACTCCTCAAATTGATCTACAGAGTGAACAGAATCCCTTTCAAAATCTCAGATGCCTTTTTTTGCAGAAATTGACAAGCTCATCCTAAAATTCACATAAAATGTAAAACAGCCAGAATAGACAAAACAATGTTTAAAAATAAAAACAAAAACGAGTCACTGTAGAAAGCAATTTGGTAGTTCTGCAAAAACTTAAACACAGAGTTATCAAATGATCCAGCAATTGTAGGTAAAAACCCATAAGAGTTGAAAGCATTTTCACACAAAAACTTGTACACAAATGTTCATAGCAGGATTATTCATAATGGCCCAAAAGTGGACAAACCTTAATGTTCATCAACAGATAAATGGATAAACAAAATGTGGTATATCCATACAACAGAATATTATTCAGTCATAAAAAGGAATGAACTACTGACACATGCTACAACACAGATAAACCTTGAAAACATTATGCTAAGTGAAAAAAGCCAGACACCAAAGGCCACATTTTGCCTGATTCCATTTATATGAAATGTCCAGAACAGGCAAATCTATAAAGATAGAAAATAGATTAGTGGTTGACAGGGACTGGGCGGGGGTGGCGGAGAGGGGGCAGTCAGGAAGAAGGGGAGCGACTGCTTAATGGGGATGGGTTTCTCTTTGGGGTGACAAAAATGTTATGGAAATAGACAGTGATGGTTGCACAATATTGTGAGTGTACTAAAAACCACTAAATTTTACACTTCAAAAGGGTGAATTTTATGGTATGTGAATAATATCTCAATAATTTTTCGAAAGACCCAAGAGAAAATGGGGACTTTCAGCACGCCCATCTCAGGAATCAGATCCTATACCTTCAGTCCCACTGCGGACCGGCCAGTGAACCCAAAGGTCAGCCCTGAATAAGCCCCCAGTGGCTTTACGACCATCTCCACTCCACCCAACATCAGAGAAGCAGTAGCTTAGGAAGACATGTAGATAATATTCCAGAGATTCTCTCCATCCAACAGCAATTCATGTTGGAGAGTTATAGTCCAGCCATGCAGACATCTCCCCCTACCGCAAATAGCTTAAACCTCAAAGAAGCATTCTGGGGGCACCAGGGAGCCCAGCAAAGCCTCCTCTCGAGGAAAAAACGGCCTTGGGGAAGAACAAGGACTGCAGGGAGCTGTAACCGGAACAAAGGCTCCCGTGGCCCCTTGCCCAGCTCCACCCCCCAACACACCAGCCTGAGTCCTCCTTTCAACAAGAGAAGGAATGGCAGCTGGAGGAGGGCGGAGAAGTGAGCAGAAACTGCTCCACCTGAACTTGTTGGAAGAATAAGGGTAAAATAGTGCACCCTCTAGAGGCACGTTCAGATCCGCCCCTAACCAGGGGACGCCTGAAATCTCCCAACACCCTCTCTTCCAATACCACAGGCTTGTTGGTTCCTCATCTCCCCCAAAGGTGGTTTATATATTGGGGTGGGGGGTCAAACACCACTAGAGATCAAAAGGCCTAGTTCCTAGTCTGAGCCCTCTGCTCACATGCCCAGACACCCAAGGAAGCCAACAGGCCACCACCCAGTGTCCTTGACTTTCAACCCAGCCAGAGGATCAGGCAGGTGCAGGTTCAAAACAACCTCTCAAAAAGAGGGGCTTTGGAGTGCTCCCCTCTGGCCTCACGAAGAACCTGGGACTCAGAGAGGGCAGTCTGGCCCAGGTCACACTGCACGCCTGGGCCGTCCCGGGAATCCCGGGGGCCTGCTGTTCCCACATGTCGGAACAGGGTGAATCCTCAACAAACCCCCATTCAGCCATCCACTGCTCAAGATAAGGAGACAGAAGCCGGAGAGGCCCGGCGCTGGCCCCAGGTCACACCTCCAGTGGGGCCATACAAGTGTCTCCCCCGCTAGGGGGAGATGCAAATCCTGGGGGCAGAGGCTGGTTTGTTAGCCCTGGTAGCCCGAACAGAGCCTGGCTCGCAGGAGGCGTTCACCAGGTGCCTGTACTCAAGTGCCCCCTGCACAGACGGTAAACTGGGGCCAGAGACACACTCAGACTGTGTTTGAGACCGGCTTGGAACCCTCCGTCCGGCTAGGCGGGGAGACTAAAGGCCGGGCGGCCGCAGCTGGCAGGAACTTACCAGGAAAGGCGCAGCCATTGCGGGGCCAGGGGCGCCCAAGGCGCCAGAAGAGCCCGAGGAAGAAGCGGCTGCAGTTGCGTCCCGTTCAGTTTCCGCGCCCCCAACCGCCGCCAATAGCAACGCGGATCGCTTCGCCTCGCCCCGCCCACCGCGGTTAAAGGAGACGCGGCGCCTCGGCTTTTTGCCCCCCGACTGGAAGGAGAGCTGTATGGCCGGCTCCACGTCTCCGCGTCCAGCGCCCCCAGGCCAGGCAGTCTACAGACGGCGCCGCCAAAGGCCTCTGTCCACCCTCACTCATTCCCCCTGAGAAATTAAAAAGTCCAGGATGAGAGGTTCGCCCCACCGACCCGTAGCCGGGCTAACGAGACGGCGAGCACAGCCTTCTGGGAAATGCAGTTCCAAGACGCCCTCATCCTTGTGTCTGGAGGAAAGTGGGACTACATTTCCCAAGATGCCATGAGGGCGGGGCCGTGAATAACAACCCGAGGAGAACGCTTTAAGGATCCCGGAAGTGGAGATCCTTAAAGCGTTCACTTTGGGTTGTTAATTGTGGCTCGTTGTGTTTGAGTCCTCTTCAGCCGCCCGCGAGGCCGGCTTTTCTCTCAGTACCCCATTAAAAGCCAATTATTCACCCTTCGGGAATTCTTTAAGTAGTTCGCTCTTCCGA